CATGTGGGTACTAGGAATTGAACCCAGGTCCCTGAAAGAGCAGTCAGTGCCCTTAACTGCACAGCCATCTCTCCATCCCTGAGGGAATGTTTTAATGAGATGATATAAAATATGGTTTGTTTTTGAGCATGTGCCAGCCATGCCCAGGTTTGCAGAAAGTACTGGAGGAGGAAATGGCTGGGCAGGTCTGAAGCCATCCACCTACTCAGTGAGCCTGTGCTGATTGGACTGGAGGCTCCACCTCCCACCCAGCTGACAGGATAGCAAATGCAGAAAATACTTCCTCTGGGGACCTAGTGGAGGGCAGGGACCCCACTGGTTGGCCTCACTGCCTGGGCAGGGAAAGGCCTGGCAGGAAGCAAATGATAATGCCTTCTAATTCCAACTCAGGGGCTGTGGGATAAAACAGCTTCATTGTCAGTCAGAAAGACATCACTTCATCTGTGGGGAACCTTAAAATGGGACTCTTAAATTTATTTTACTCTGTGTGTGTGTGGTGTACAAGAGTGTACATTTGTGCGTTTTAACTTACTGATTTAGTGTGCTGTATGTGTCGTGTATGTGTATGTATATATGCATGTGGTGTGTGTGCATTTGTATTTATTTAATTAATGTGTTATGTGTATGTGTGTGGTTTGTATATGTATGGTGTGGTGTGGTTGGTGTGTGTGTGTATGTGTGGTATGTGTATGTATGGTGTGTGTGCATGTGTATGGGTTTCCAGGGGTCCAATTCAGGTGGACGGGTTCCACACAAGTGTCTTTACCTGCTACGCTATCACACTACTTCCTACAGTGAGAATCTTAAAGCCGGGCACACCTGTAATGCCAGTACTGGAAACTGAAGCAGGAGAAGAGAACCCCCAGTGTGAGAACAGCAGAAGAGCAGGTGTACAGAGACCCCACCTCAAGCACCAGACAAGGGCCTGAGGAGTGCTCCTGAGTGTGCCCAGTGGTTAAGAGTCTTGCTGCTCTTTATGGGGACGAGGGCTCAGCTCCCAGCACCATCAGGTAGCTCACAACCACAGGCAACTCCAGCTCAGGAGAGCTGGTGCCCTCTTCTGGCCTCCAAGGGCAGGCATACATACATAAGTAAATAGAAATAAAATAAATATTTAAAAACTATACCCAGCAACAACCAAAAACAAAACAAACAAACAAAAAAACAAAACAAAAACAAAAAACAAGCAAGAAACCCAGCACTACATCTTAGATGCAAGGACACATGATAGATAACCATATTTGCCAGTTGCATGCATGGTATGAAATTAAGGAACTGTGCCCTGACATCTTCCTTTAAACTCCATTGTAGGAAGGATGGAGGAAAGGAGAGAAGGCAGATCTAAGTACAAAAACCTAAGTATGATGACTGCTTGAAATTGGAATCACAGATACTCTAGGGAAACAAAGGATTAAGAATTTTAGGAACTTTGTTTTTCGGGGCTCTTTCCAAGGGTAGCTGGGGTGAATTTGTACCAAAGCAGAAGCTGCAGTTGTCAATTCCATCTTCAGCTCCAGGATGTTTGCCTTGGCAAAAAACACACTAAGGATGGGGCTGGCGAGACGGCTCCGGTGGTTAAGAGCACTGGCTGCTCTTCCCGAGGACCTGTTTGATTCCGAGCATCCACTGGGTGGCTCACAAGCATCTTTAACTCCAGTTTCCAGAGTTCTAATGCCTTTTCTAGCCTCCTGGGGTGTCGGGTATGAACATGATGCACAAACATGCAGACAAACACCCATCCACCTGGTCTCCTAATATGCTGGTGTCGTACTAGCAAGTGGTGGCACTTGCAACATTGCTGTAGGGACATTACAGGAACAGAAACTGGGGGAGAATGGAGCCAGCTCCCTGGTAACGGAGTCACCCCAAGGAAAGGAACAGTTCAGTAAGTCCTGTCAGATAGTATCAACAAACTATTTCAAAACCAACGCATAACGATGCCAAGTCAAAGAACCATGTGCTCATTAAAACAAGGCATATTGGAAAAAACTGCCTCTGAAAACTAAAAAGAAAGAAAGAATATAAATGCAATCACCAAGATGTCAGAAGGAAAGAGATGCATCCAGAGTAAGCAAATTTCTCAGTCAAATAATTCAGCAGCTAGTCACATGTGACTACAATGGGCAGCCATAGATGCTCCTAAAGAGGAAGACTGAGAAGGAGAGAAAAGAAGTCTGGAGTGAGAGACACCAGGCAGATGTGAACAAACAGAAGGCAGAAGTCACGTGCAGCCAGGATAAGCCTTTGTGATCAAGATGACCTCAAATGGCCAAGGGGATGTGATGCCTCTACCATGTGACAAAGAGCACAGCAGCTGTGATCAGATAGCAAAAAGAACACAGGCGTTGGGGGTGGGGGTGGAATACAGCAACGCCCATAGTAAGAGCTTTAATTAACCCCTCAAAGATTAGCTACACAAAAAATAACATCAGAAGGCCAGGAAGATGGTTCATTACATAGGGGCAATTGCCTAGAAGCCTCCCAAGACAGATCCCATCCCTGGGACCTGTGTGGTGGAAGGAGAACCAACCCCTTCAAGCTGTCCTCTGGCCTCCACACATACACTGTGGCATGAGTACTACACACACATTAAATAAATAAAAATAGTAAAAATTTAAAAATAAGATTAGAAATTACCTATTAATGTATTTTTTTTCCCCCAAGACAGGGTGTAGCCTTGGCTGTTCTGGACTCGCTTTGTAGACCAGGCTGGCCTCAAACTCACAGAGATCCACCTACTTCTGTCTCCCTTAGTGCTGGTAATGTTATTATTTCAAACAATTTTCATCAATAAGAGCCTCTGTTCTAATAAAAAGACTGCATGATGGCCAGCAAGGAGGCTTAACAGGTAGAATAGCTCATTGTAAAACCTGAGACCTGAGTTCTACCTCTGTGACCTGAACGGTAGAAAGAGACCACTCGTTCTGACATGTTTTCCTCTGACCCTTTCACGTTGAGTGCTGTGGCATGTGTATGGGCCCCCATCATTAAATAAATATATGTGTGCGTGTGTGTGTGTGCCTGTGTATGTATGTATGTATATGTATATACATGTTGGTGTTTCAGCCACCATACCTCGCTAAATGTTTTTTCAAAACAAGACTGCACACTAGGTGGTTCAGTGAGCAAAGGCACTTCCATCAAGCATGAAAACATGGAGCTCTATCCACAGGCCCTCCATACTCCTGAAAGTCATGTTCTGGCTGCTATATGAACACATATAGAAGCAGTAAATAATAATGTTTTTAAATGTAAAAAAAAATACCTTTTTAAAGACAGTGACCCCTATGTGGCCCTGGCTGTCCTGTGGAGACCAGGCTGGCCTCAAAGTCACAGAGATCTTCCTGCCTCTACATCCCAAGTGCTGGGACTAAAAGCGTGTACCATCACAACCAGTTAAAAAAAAAAATTAAAGACTACATCAGTGGGCTGGGAGAATGGCTCAGTGGTTAGGTAGGCTTCCTGCTGCTCGCTCATATTGGGGCAGCTCACAAACACCCATAACCCCAGCTCCAGAGGATCTGGTGAAGACTTCTGGCTGCCACAGGCGTGTACAAACACACACACACACACACACAAACAAAACTTAAAAAGATTACACGATTGCAGATGAACCTTCCCAAACATGGACCACACAGTAAGCCATTCCTGAGAACCACAGCTGATTGACTTATTGTGTGTGTGCACCCTGTGTACACACGTGAGCCATGGCACTTGGGTAGAGGTCAGAGATCAACCCTGTGCACGTGACTCTCTCCTTCCACCTTCATGTGGCTTCCAGGGATTGAACTCAGATTATCAAGCTTCTCAGCCAGCACCTTTACCCGCTGAGCCATACTACTAGCCATAAATGCAGTTTTTAAAAAATAAAAATTACAGAAAATAGACAAGACTACTCTCTAATCACTAAGGAAATCAAATCAGAAATTGATGACAGAATTAAAAACTGAAAGACCTTACAACCTGCAAATTTTAAACCTATTATATTACTATTGCAACAGATGGGAAATCAAGTGAAATCTCAGAATATCTAGAAAACAACAATTGGAATATTACACAAAACCTAAGGTGTACAACTAAGGCAGTATTCAGAGGGAAATACATAGCTTTTGATACTTACTAATAAGGATGAATGAAACTAAATATCTAACTTGACAAGGGGAAAAATCAACAAAACAAACCAATAAAACAGAAGAAAATTAAGATAAAAAAATAAAAATAAAGCTTAAGAAAGAAAGAAGTAAGGGAGCTGGCGAGATGGCTCAGAGGTTAAGAGCTCTGGCTGCTCTTCCCAGCAACCACCTATACTGAGATCTGGTGCCCTCTTCTGGTGCTGCAGGCACACATGCTGGCAGAATGCTATATAAATAAAAAATAAATCTAAGAGAGAAAGAAAGGCTGGATAGTGGTGGCCCACGCTTTTAATCCTGGCACTTGGGAGGCAGAGGCAGGTAGATCTTTGAGTTCGAGACCAGCCAGAGTGAGCCAGGACAGGGCTTCACAGGGAAACTCTGTCTTGAAAAAGAAAAAACTAAAACCAAACAAAAACAAATAGCCAATTCGAAGTAAATAGAGGCAGTGTGGTGACAGCACTCTGGAGGCAGGGGCAGGAGGATCACAGGTGAACTTCCCTACAGAGCAGAGACCTGTCAAAAGCAGCAATAGGTGCGGAGAGGTGGATCACTGTGAGAGCACTTGCTCCTGCTGCAGAGGACCCCAGTTCCATTCCCAGCACACCGTGCAGCTCCCAACCCCTCTAACTTCAGCTCCAAGGGGTCAGAAACCCTTGTCTGAAATCCACAGGCACCTGAACCCACGCGCACACAAAAACAAGCAGACACATATATAAAAATAAAACATGTAGGGAGGAAAAAGAGAGGCTAAAAGAGAAGGGATAAATCAATTAAAAATAGACTGATAATGGGGCTAGAGGGATGGCTCTGACGTTAAGGGTACTTGTTGCTCTTGCAGAGAGCCAGGGTTTGATTCCCAGCACCTACGTGTTGTCTCACAAGCGTCTGTAAGTCCAATTCCGGGGATCCAACATCATCTTTCTGGCCTCCACAGGCCCTGCGAAGCACATGATGCAGACATGCAGGTAAAACACCCATGCACCTAAAAGAAAATACATATTTTTAAAAAATATAAACAAAGAGTTGAACTAGTCAGGGGAGAAGGAACTGAAATACAAATTATACTAAAGTAAAGGAAAGTTGAGGTGACTCTGCACGACTTTCCGAGCTTCTTGCAAGATGGCAGCCATGATCCAGAGAAGTCCCCGCCAGTTCCCATTCGTGACCAGCCATGGCCTCCAGGACGTGTGGCTCTCCGAACCCACTCCTTTCTGACCCTGTCCCCCAAAGCCGTGCTCAGCACGGGTCCCTTCACTGAACGCTGAGACGCACTCATTTTCAGAGGTGAGGGCTGGCCTCAAAGGGCACCCGTCCAGAGCAGGGCCATGGCCAGCTGAGGACGGACAGGTGTGCGGCCCAGCCGTCTTCGCGTCCTCAACCTCAAGCTGCCTCGCAGCCGGGAAGCCTCGTCCCCAGTGTCCGCGCCGCGCGCAAACTCGAACGAGGCGGGCCGACTGCGGCGGCAGGAGCCGGCGGACGCGTCACTTCGAATGCGCGCATGGCCGTGCCGCGGCCTCGTGACGCCCCCTGCTGGCCGGTATCTCTGCGGCCCGAGGACCCGGAAAACAGAGCCTCGGGGGCAGCCGGACCGCCCCGCGCAGGGATTGGCCAGCCCGGTCACGTGGCAAGAGAGAGGCGGAGCAATGCAGCGGCCTTCAGGCCTCCGTCCTTTGCTCCGCTCTTGCGTGCCGTAGCTCGCTCTCTGCACCCTGGGCGGGGCGCGCTGTGAGTGCTTAGGTTTTCTTCGGTCCCCGCGACAGCGCTGTCCCCTCTTCAGGTAGAGGGTCTAGTATGCAATAGGAAGTGTGTGGGGACACAGAGCTACAACCCGAGCTGCGGGTTGATGTCAACGCCCAGGCACATTTCCTGCGGTCCTGGTTAGCTGTCCTCGTGCTGCGAACGTACACTGACCAAAAGCAACCTGGCGGGGTCGGGGTGTTAATGTCAATTATGGAGGGAAGCCAAGACAGGAGCTCAAGCTGGAAACTGGAGTCAGGAACTGAAGCAGAGACCGTGGAGGAATGCTGATTACTGCCTTGCTCAGCTTGATTTCTGATATAGCTCGGGCCCATTTGCCTAGAGATAGGGGTCCTCCTACATCAATTAAGACAAGCCCACAGGCCGTTCTGATGGAGGCCATGTGAGAGTCCCTTTTCCCAGGTTTGTCCAGTTAACAGAAACTAACACCTAGGGAGACAGTGGAGGTTCCCACAGGCTGATGGCCGGCCTGGATCCTTAGGCTGGACTGCCTGGTAACAGTACTGGGGGTGTGGGGGAACCTCCGTACCAGTCAGATGAGAGCCTAGAGCTGTGCTGAAAGACAATGAGGGCAAAACCAGAAGGGCCAGGCCCAGGCGTGGGTTGGAAGAGAGAACCGTGGAGGACACCTGGGACAGCCGCCAGTGTTTGCTGGCACCCTGACCAGATGGTCCCTATCAGAATTCAGCTCTCCTGAGTGCCAATCTCCTTATTGCAAACCCCTGGCTAGCCCCACCGCATCCTACTTTCCATACTCCTTGGCTGGCTCAGCCCTGCCCTGCAGCTCCTCTGAGGCCAAACCCGGAGTCTGTCTCAGTCCTGACCACCTTAAGGTGGCAGAACACCCCCTCCTGGGCTCGCAAACACTGCAGGCTGACTGATTACTGACCTTGAGCTGGGGGCTTCTATGGACCGGCTGGTGAGGTGAAGATCAGACGTGTGACGGGACTTTCAGTTTCACGAGCTGTTAACATTGGCTTCTTCCTCTGCTACTGCCTTCAGTAACAGCTGAAAGTTAGCTGTCTTCAAGACTACCCATGGGAGGCTGGACCCTCTGCATGTATAGGGCTTACTATTCCCGGGTGCAGGGGTGTCACAGTCTCAGAGATGAGTTCAGAGAAATCCAGAGTATTTCATTTTTTTTAATCCATTTTATTTCTCTATTTGCTTTTTTTTTTTTTTTTTTCCATTGAGGCTAGTGACAGGCACACACTTTGTTATTTTGGTTTTGGTGGTGGGGTCATAATTTGAACTTTAATATTCTACTGGTGAGATACACCCAACACCCCCACATTGCTCTGTTTTTGAGATAAGGTCTTGCTTTGCAACCCAAACTGGTTTTTAACTCCTGACCCTTGACCTTAGCCTCCCAAGTGATAGGATTACAGGCTTGTGGCACCATGCTGGGTTCAGGCACACATTTTTTTGTATCTGTATGTACAGTTACATGCATGTGTGGGTGAGGTACATATGTTGCATACACACAGCTATATGTGGGTGGACTTGGTTAATGCTGAATATCTTCCTCAATCGCTCTGCACTTGGTTTGGAGACACTATCTCTTCCTGAACCCTCTAGCCTCCGGATCTGCCTGTGTTCTCCCCTGCCCTCCAGCACTGGAGTTACAGGCGTGTTCCACCAAGCCTGGTTTTGCTGTGGGTGCTAGGGATCTCCTCCCACACTGCCCTCAAGCACTTTACTCAGGAAGCCATCTCCCGGTCCTCTTATCTCATGGTTTAAAAGACTTGCCATAACAGTTATCAATTACTCACTCCGAGAAGTTATCAATAACTGCCTGCCTTTGAAAGATAAGGGCTCGGCTGGTAAGCCTCCACACCACCCACCTCCTGGCCCTGTCCTCACATGGGAATCAAAACTCCAGTCTATTTTATCTGGAACCCGTATTGTCCCTTCCAGCCTCTTGTGAGGAAGAAAGGGCCTTGGACAGTGCCGAGATGTCTGCTGAAGGGCTTAACTCATTTTTAAAGTATGTTGTGTACTTGGGCATGTGTTTACCCACACATGTGCATGAAGAAGCTGGAGGAGGCCAGAAGAGGGTGCTGGATCCCTTGGAACTGAAGTTGCGGACAGCTCTGAGCCGACCCCGAACATGAGTCCTCTACAAGAGCTCTTAACCACTGAACCATCTCTCCAGCACTCGGGAGGCAGAGGCAGGTGGATCTCTGTTAGTTCAAGGCCAGCCTGGTCTACAAAGTGAGTCCAGGACAGATAGGGCTCTGTTACACAGAGAAACTTGTCTCAAAAAAACAAACCACATAGGGGGCAAACCCAGCACAGCACTCAGGAGACTCAACGTGAAGGCCTGTTGTCAGGCTTGTGGGCGAGGACCTTTACCTGCTGAGCCATCTCTCTTCCCCCACACTTAAAAAAAAAATGTTTTGCTCAAGAGATGGCTGACGAGCACTTATTGATCTTGCAAAGGACCTGGGTTTTGGTTCCTACCACCTGTAGCTCTTGGGCATCTGTGGGCTCTCTCATGCATGTGCACACACAAACATACACATGAGAGAGAGAGAGAGAGAGAGAGAGAGAGAGAATAAAAATAGTAAAGTTGGGCATGGTGGCATACAACTTTAATCCCAGCACTTAAGGGATCTCTGTGAGTATGAGGTCAACCTGGTCTGAAGGCGAGTTCAGAACAGTCAAGGCTACACAGGAGAAAAAGTCTCAAAAAAACAAAACAAAGCAAAAAACAAAACAAAACAAAAACCTACTGTCCGCTACCAAGGCTTTAGGGAAGCTGTGGCCATGGGTCCCCATGGGTCCCTATAAAGGTGCTCTGTGAGTAGAGAGGGTGTACACTGGGGACATTGGGAAAATGTTCACTCACCTTTGGTTTCCTTCCAGGGAGCTGATAATGAGTTCTATTCAGATCTGCCTTCTTCCCAGGGTACTGAGGGAAGCTTCTGGGGACATTATGACTGCACCCCTTAGATAGGCGAGCTCACTGCCAAGGATTCTACGGCCAGATCAGGGGACCTATGATCCCTTTCAACCACCCTCCACAGGGCATCAAGACTTCCCATGGCCCCCCACCCCATGGTACCCCAGCTAGGTTTTCAGGGCTCAGTTCTTACTCTTCCTTCAACTTTTGGCCCTAGGCAGATTCACTCACCATCCTCTCATGCCCTCCACTTCCATCTGACCTTTCCTGCCCAACAGGCAGGAGGCCCTGCTCAGGACACTCTTCAGGAGGCTAGCTCTGCACAGTGGCCATGCAGTCAGTGGAAGAAGCCTGCCACCCACTTCCTGACTTTTCGGAAAGTCAGGCTAGATGTTCCAGGGGTTGATCGCCCAAGCCGAACGGAGGCTGTCCCACTGGGCTGCTTGGTTCACTTAGCAGCCTTTGTGCCCGTGTCCCCTCCTCCAGCAGGCTTCTGCCCCTCCCACGTGAGGACAATTCCAGCTTCAATCCTCATCTTCCTTGATCAGGCAGCTTGCTTTTGTGGTCTACACCCTCTGTTATCTTGGTGTCCACAGAGGTTCTTTCCATGGAGGGAGCCTGGAAGTGCTCTTTGGAGAGCAGTGTGCCCATCCACGTTGTAGCTGGCCTCCAGACGGCCAGCTGCACGTCTTCCACTCTCCTGTCTGTGGGCTCCCATGGAACAGCACGTACCTGAAGCCTGTGCCCCACAGTGGTGGGGCAGCCTCTCTCCTGGACTGGTGCTCTCGGGGCTGGCAAGGCAGTCAGAGGAGTGATGGGCCCACCGCCACATGGGCCACATTTGGACTGGTCTACCCACAGGTCTGGTACTGTTTCTCCTGTTCTGGAGACTGCAGCATGCATAGGCTACTGGGGGTGGAGACTGAGGATGATGCTGGGCTGCTGTGGTGCTGTAAGGGTTGGGGTGGGAGTTGGGAGCACAGAATCTCAGGCAAGTGACCTCTTCAAGACCACATGAGCAGTTATCTGGTAGCAGATCCAGGAGCACCCAAGCATCTGGATTGCCCACTGTGGTTTCTGTTCCCAGGTGGCCCTGGGGATATCAGGCAGAGTAGGTAGGATTGATGTACTCTTCGAAAACTCGACTTAGAGAGTGAAAACCCAATCCCTGACAGGGACAGTCTGCCCCACTGTTACACAGAAGAGAGCTTCCCAGGGAGACACAATTAATCCCACTCCCAACCAAATCTGCCCTTCTTCCACCCCTGCTCACTGAATTTGGGAGGTGGAGGCAGGAAGATCAAGGTCATCGTGCTGGGCCTGGAGAGACGGCTTTTTTCAGAAAACTTGTATGGCCAGCAGCTGCTAGCCCATGCTAACTCTAGGCCCAGGGGATTAACGCCTTTTCTGGCACCCTGTCACCTGCACGCATGCGCACATGCTTTGGTTTGCGTAGACATTGTTAAGGGTGGAAAAGGATAGCCTAATACATAGACAGATTCTGGATGGCTTAAATTTGGCTGTTTCTTTTGTCTAATAAGAGATATCTAGCCCCTCAGTAAAACTACTGGCTTGGGCCTGGTTTCCTCCAGTAGTTGGTCCCTTTGGCTGCTAACTCTGAGTTCTTCCAGGCTCTGGCAGGGCACAGATTAGAGGTGGGCCTGTCCTTTTCGGGCTCAGAGAGGATCCTCACAGAAGCAGCTGATGAGCCTTGGCCCCTGCCCTTGTCCAAGTATCTTCACAGACACCGTAAATAAGTTCAAGCTCAAGGGCAGTGCAGTGAGTACCAGGGACC